TCCTTTTCAAACCTTGCTTCCTTCACACACGTTACCCCTCCCTACTTCTCATCACACACTCTACCTCTCACCCTTACTCCTACCTTACCAACCTCAGACGAGTCCCACTCTTCCTCACCTTCCTCACCATCTTCTTCATCTCCTCCTACACCTCATAGCACGGATACTGATCATTCTCCACATCCCCATGCTGCTGAGCCTAATCCCACTACTCTTGATCATTCTCCTATCCTCCCCATCGATCCCAACCCCACTCCACCAGTCCTTGAACCACCCTCCTCCCCCATTGGGCATCCTTTGTGCCACCGCACCATACCTGCCTACCTCAATGATTATGTTTGCTTGTAGGTTATGTTGCCTACACCCAAGCCGTTGCTTTCTTCATTGTCAAGCTCCACTAAAGGTACCAGGTATCCCTTGGACCATTTTCTTTCCTATCATCGTTACTCACCCACACATTTTTATATTAACCATGTTAGCTATGATGTGGAACCTCGTACATGTTGTTTATCACCCTCACTGGCAAGTTGCTATGCAATCTGAGTTGTAAGCGTTGGCTGAGAATCACACTTGGACTCTTACTCTTTTTCCTCCTGGCAAGTTTCTCATTGGTTGCAAATGGGTCTACAAGATCAAACATCGTTCTAATGGAACCATTGAGCGCTACAAAGCTCGTTTGGTCGCCAAGGGTTACACTCAGATGGAGGGTGTTGATTACCATGACTCTTTTCTCGCCCACTGCTAAAAAATGACCATTGTCTGTTGCTTATTGTCCATTGCCTCCACCCTTAATTGGTCCATTCATCAGCTTGATGTTAATAACGCATTCTTACATGGTGATCTTCATAAGGAAATCTATATGTCCCCACCTTTTTGGTCTTCTACGACAGGGGGAGCATTTGGTACGACGCTTTCACAAGTCGTTGTATGGTTTGAAGCAAGCTTCTTGCCAATGGTTTGCTAAGTTCTCTCCTGCCATTAGTGCTACTAGTTTTGTACAATCTAAAGCCGATTATTCACTCTTCACTCATCGCAGAGAGACCTCTTTCACAGTTCTTTTGATTTACATGGATGACATCGTTATCACTGGAAATAATTTGGCTGCTAGTTCTTCCCTTAAAGCTTTTTCGCACAGTTATTTTCGAATCAAGGATCTTGGAGACTTAATATTTTCTGGGAATTGAAGTGTCATGTTCCCATAAAGGTATTTCCATTTCACAAAGGAAATACAATTTGGAGATCTTGAAAGATGTTGGCCTCTTGAGAGCACAACCAATTGACTTTCCCATGGAACAAAACTTGAAGCTTTTAGATAAAGGGGAACTACTCAAAGACATATCACAGTATAGAGAATTGTGGGGCACTTGATTTACTTGACGATAACTCGTCCTAACATCATTTATTCAGCGCATGTCTTGAGTTGCTTCATGCATGAGCCACGTAAACCTCATATGGAAGCAGTACTTCGTGTTCTAAGGTACCTCAAAGGCACACCAGGTCAAGGTCTTTTCTTTTCCTCACAAAACAAAATAGTTTTGAGAGCTTACTATGGCTTGGACTGGGCAGGTTGCCCGATTACTCGAAGGTCTGCTACAGGATATTGCATATTCTTGGGATCCTCCTTAATTTCTTGGAGATCAAAGAGACAGAAGACAGTGTCATTATCTTCAACTGAAACTGAGTATAAAGCTATGACAAGTGCTTGTTGTGAGCTTTCATGGCTTCAATACCTTCTTAGAGACCTAAATTTAGCACATATAGGGGCTGCAACCCTACATTGCGACAACCAAGCAGCTTTACACATAGTTGCTAACCCAATCTTCCATGAACAAACTTGACACATAGAGATTGATTGCCATTTTATCAAAGACAAAATTCAAGATGGTTCAGTATAACAAAACATGTCTCTTCATCACAACAACTTGCAAATGTGTTCACAAAGGCGTTGGGAAATGATGCTTTCTCAGCTGTGTTATGCAAGTTGGGAGTTCTAGATATACACTCTCCAACTTGAGGGGGAGTGTTGGAACGTCAACTCTATCCCACAAATTTAGGGATAGATTAGCAACGAAGTATATACTTTAATTGTAATTGATTATAGTTGACTTTGTATAGAATAATTTACTTGATTGTATTCCTTGATTATAGGATCATATATGTATATATTTTTCAACTCAATGAATGAAAGAATTATTCTGGCAAACATCCTTTTGTCATTCTTTACAATACTTATATTATGTGCATATATTTATTTACGTATGCTTTCAAGTTTAATTATATTATGTTATCAAACTGTCAATATTTCAGTCATAATGATCTAGTATGAATGAGCAGATTCATGTGGTGGACTTTGTGATCCTTTGCATCGGGCGATTCAGCGACGTTCCAAACATTCCCGAGTTCCCTCCAAACAAGGGACCAGAAGCATTTCATGGAGAGGTTATACACTCCATGAATTATGCCGACATGGATTACGAAAGCGCAGCTAAATTTGTGGAAGGAAAGCAAGTAACTGTTGTGGGATTTCAGAAATTTGCAATGGACATTGCGATGGAGTGCTCAATCGCAAATGGTAATTATACTAAACTGAGAATTTAAATGCCACGTTACACAAGTCCAAGAAGTAGCTCAGCAATAATTTGACCATTTTAATAGATTGTTTGTGTTGCATTTTCCCTTAATTCAATAGTTGGTAATATTCAGGGGTTGAAAATCCATGCACAGTGTTGTACAAGACAGAACACTGGAATCTTCCTGGCTATCTTCCATGGGGCTTTCCCATCGCATACTTATACTTCAATCGCTTCTCGGAGCTCTTGGAACACAAGCCCGGTGAAGGCATCCAGCTCAGTCTCCTTGCAACAATTATTTCACCTGTGGTATACTTCATTTTGCTAACCCTAATTATGCCTTTTGATTGTGATGCTTATAGATAAACTAACAAAACTTATAAGGATTGAACAGAGATGGGGGTTTTCGAAATTTGTCGAAAGCTATATAAATAAGAAGCTTGGTTTAGCCAAGTATGGAATGGTACCTAAGCACAGTTTCCTTCAAGAAATCAGTTCTTGTATGATAGCAACAGTACCGGAAAAGTTCTTTGATCGAGTCCGATAGGGAAGCATCATACTGAAAAAGTCTCCTGGCGGCTTTGGCTTTTGCCAAGAAGGGATTCTGGTTAATGGTGAAAGCTCCCCTGTGAAGTCAGATTTGGTCATCTTGGCTACTGGGTTTAGGGGCGAGAAAAAGCTCAAGGACATGTTTGTGTCTCCCACCTTTCAGGACTACATCCTCGGTTCGCCTAAGTCCATATTACTCCTTTACAGGTTAAGCTTATTTCATAGACCATACCACATTTACTGATCACATCTCTTAGAGAACAAATTGTCTATTTGAGTCTAAATTTCGAATGACGTGCGATATGTAAATGTGGCACAAATGTTTCTGTTAGGTACTTTTATTAGATACAGCATTTGAATAAGAAAATCATGTATGATTTCATCTCAATCAGGGAATGCATACATGGAAGAATTTCACAGCTATCAGTAATTGGATTCTCCGAAAGTATTTCGAACTTATACACCTCCAAGATGAGGTGCAGTATGGCTAGCGGAGCTTCTCAGAGGCACATTTAAGCTACCAAGCATAAAAAGAGATGGATAAAGATGTGGAAAAATGGGACGCATACGCAGTATGGCTAGTGAAGTGATTTTGAAAAAAAAGCTAGTATCAAAAAAAGCTGGGGGCATTTTTGTGTTTGATAAACTTCCAACTTCAGTTTTTTTTCACAGTTTTGGATGAAAAAAAGCCTAAAAACAGAAGCGGCAAAAGACAGTTTTTGAAAAACTGGCTTTTCAACTTCTGCGCAAACCTTTAAAACACGGGTGAACAGTGACCCTTTAATCAAAGTTTCTGGCAATCCTACCCTCCCTTCATCTCTATCATCCCCTTTCTGCTCCTCCTAACTTCATCTTTACCAAAGATCTTTGAAGATTTGTGTCGCCCCCACTGTGAATCTATCTCGTCCCTCCCCATGAAGATCCGAATCGTCACCACCAGAGACCCACAAGGGTCGCCAGGAGGAGAGCATGGAAGAGATGGAGAAAGATGTGAAAAAATGGGACGCATACGGGAAGCGAAGCGATACACTTCCAGCCAATACTACCGGAGATCATGCACCGGTGCCCTCCATCTGTGGTACAATGACCAGTTGTGCAAGGATATGGGATGGAACCCCAAAAGAAAGAAGGGACTCTTTGCTGAATTGTTTGAGCCTTATGGCCCCATGGATTATGCTTCCTCTTGAAATGGTCAACATCAACATAATAAAAAGATTAGTTTTCCTTGTATTTTGCTGCATAACAGCTCATGTTTGAACCTGTCGTTGTATTCAAGCACTTGTATTTTGTTGCATAAAAGTTCATGTTGAACCCATCGTTGTATTTAGGCAATGCATCTTTAAACTAAGATGACGGTTTTGTTCCTGATTTGCGTTTTATATTTCCAACCGAAACGAAAGCATGCAAATGGGTTAAATTCTGTCCCCTTTAGTTTGAAGCAACTCAATAAAAGGGTTGTAGTATCGAGTGGATTTCGAAGTATTTTTGTTTTATTTTTTAAACAAACGATATTATCTAAAAACTCGTTTGTTCAAACTCGCATTTGGCAATAATTGCCATGGTCACGGGCTTTTCAAAGTCCTTTTGTGTAGCTAGAAACTTTAGCACCAGCTTCCAACGCAGCTTCCAGTGGCTGGAGCGCCCAACGGCATGCCTCGTTGTCAAGCGTTGGGGATTTGGGAGGATCGACAACGGAAGGAGTGTGAATTTGGTGAAGTCAAGGCCAAGAGAGATGTATCCAAGAAGTAGAAGCTACATTGATTCCAGGAAAAACAATCTCATGAAGACTTTAACTCCTGCGGTCTTATAACTAAAGTTTGGAATTGGACCGTATTTGCTAACATGACTCACCACGTGTTTATTATAACTTTTTCACCACGAGGATTGCGGTTAAAGTATGGTAAACTGTAATTTACAAGAATATATACTAAGGAATATTCATGTCTGTTTTTCGTACCTAAAAATTATCAATGAATATAAAAACGTATAATCATGTAATACAAATATTGAAACAAATGCGCAATTCGCAGCTGAAACCTCTCTTCGGCTTGTGGGAGATACTCGGCCTATGATGTCATTCAATCGAATTGATTTTGCCAATCTCAAGTGGCTAGCTGGGAAAAGAAGTGGATCATGCAGTTTTAGGCACATTCTAAAACCTGGAAACATGTTCCTAGTTCATAGTTCATATAAATCCTATCTCTAAATTTTAAATAAGATTTTAAAGGGAAAAATAGATGAGGCGGTGACAACATTAACTTTTAACAGCTTCATCGGCATATTCCAACTAGTCCGTCAAGAACCAGAGTGAAAATATTTTGCAGTTCTCGCAAAAATGAAAACGGAAAAATGCAGCATTACACGAATTTTGAATGTCCACTAACCTGAGCTGTCTGGAAATCCCTGTGCACGAACCACCACGGGCCTGATTTTGACAGATATCTGAAAGGAGAACAGAAGAAAAACAAAGATACGAATAAGCAGCAACAGAGATAGCGATGATGCTGATAAACGTAAAATCCAGAAATGAATAATCATTATGCCTCTTCTACTAGCAAAATAAGCAAATGATGTATTCATATTTTAGCATTAGAAGCCTTAGATTTTATTATCACCAGGAGTTATAAACCAGCCACTTACTTAAAGTTGGATTAGTTATCGAAAAGAGTATTATATTCACGATTAATGTTGATAATCAAAATTTGACATGGTATATTATTACCTGGCATAGCCTGCGACTGCGCGCAAGCCCATGAAGAGAGTCAAACCCAGCCAAACTCCATGAAGGCCAAAGATGGAAGGAGCATATAGCAAAAATGCGGAAGATAATGCCCCCACTACCATCTATTAATAATAGAGATTTTGTCAGAACCAAAAACAGAAATATGTACACTTTCATAGTCAAAGTAATAATAAAATGGAAACAAGTAGATAAAGACTATGATGATAAAAAGAGCGTGTCCATACCTGACCAGATGCAGCCATTGCATCAGTTAGAAGGGATACAGCCAACCATACTTGAATACATACATATCTTATGAGCAGCCATAGCTACTGGACCTTGACGAGCCGCCATTGATGTTCCCAATGTCAAGGTCGTATGACAAGCAACAGTTCGTCCAAGAAGAAAACCACCTCCAACATCGCAGAGTTGTTACCAAAAGCAATTAGGTAAGAAACTTTGAATATGAAGACGAGAGAATTATCACTGGGGTAATGAAAGAAGTTTAACAACCAACACAAAGACAAAAGAAACATTAATATACACTGCCCCGATACATGTGCACTGAATCGGAAGATAAAGTGAAATACTATGATAGTCAAGAAAATCAACGAATCGGAGAGCTGGAAGAAAGCTGTATATATTCAGATAGATGAGAGTAAAACGTTCAATAAAAGGAAATAAACTTACCGGATTTAAGGTATCCACCAAATTGTAGTGATCCAACCTTCGGAGGCAATGGTATAGCTCTCTTATTTAGAAACCAGATCATTAAAAAGGTGACAGTGTATCTGAAAAAACAGATATTCCATAAAGTTCATTTTCTAATTACAGATAAAAAAGGGTAATATTGAAAGAAAGTCTATTGAAAATCACATACTGAGATATAACAGTGGAAATGGCTGCACCAGTTGCACCCAAACGAAAATAATAAATATGGAGGGGCAACAAAAACACAGCTAACGAATTACCAATACCTGCACGAAAAACAATACATTGACTAAAAACAAATGGAAATCAACAAGTTGGAGACATGATTATAAATACACTGTGCAAGAATAATAGACCACTATTATGCGTGTGTTATATGGGCGTTGTGTGTGTGTGTGCGCGCCCGCGCGCGCGTAGAAAAACTAGACCTTCCATCCCAAAAGCTTCAATTATTTCATATTCAATCAAAAGATGCTAAAGGCTATTAGGACATGTGTCACAAATATATAGCATTGTAGTGGATAAAAAAGTGTTACACCACTTCCCCAGTGCTCTCCCCTCAGCAAGATGCTGACAACAATAGATTAACCAGGCATTTCAGCAGTCACACAAGACAAATTCATACTGCTATCTAGAAAGGGATGTCACTTGAACGTTTAAAATATATATAACCAAAAACTTGCCTAGACATAGTACTGGAGTTTTTGTATCCTTAAATCCACGGAAAACTCCTTGAAGAGCCAAAGATGCTACAACTGCGGGAGCACCAAATGCTCTTAGTTGATGAAATCGTTGTGCTTGAATGCGCATAGGTGAGTCCTGTGATATTCGGGGGGAAAAAAGATCTTCCTTAAATTAAACAGTCAAATATGAGAGGGGAAACCAGAAAACGTATAAGTTCCCCCCATAACCAAAAATAAAAAATCAAATTGAGTAACCGCACATGCACAAGAACTAGAAACTTGTATAGTAATTGTTCACATATATATATAATTGCATTTATGCATACAAAAAAAGAAAGTTTGTATAATCATGTAAAAAGATATAAGACAAGGAAGACAAACAAATCAGTATGAGAAGTAATTTTAGATCAGGTAACCTACTGATGATATGCCCATCATATTTAGAAACAACCCAGATCCCAAAGACAGAGCCATGGCCTCAAAGATTCCAATCCCAACTGCTAACTGTAAAGCTGTAGACACTGAAGATAGCTGCTTTCTCTCAACGACTCCATCAACAGGTTTGGGTTTACCATTAGTATTGCCGTCTAGATAACCATTTTCTGTACGAAAATCAGCCAAAATCAGATTCCCAAAAAAAAAAAAAAGTTTAAGTAATCTCTGCTCTAAGTTAGACATAAAGACAGACCAAATATGTGTACAACAAAGATGACCAGGGAAGTAAAACAAAAGTTGAACTTCGCCTGAAGTAGAACCTTTACTTTCACTCTTAGCAAGGTCTTCAGCAACAAAAGATGTAGCAACACTGAGGAGAGGGATATTAAATGTCTTTGAGATATAATTAAAGATGTTCATTGAAATACCAGCTGAAGCCAATTCCACGGAACCTATGGAAAAACAGAAGCAAAATAATAAGGAGCTCCAAATTCAAATCAATTATACAGTTATCAGTCATTGAACACGTTTAAAGGAGTGAAACAAACCCAAATTGCCAATGTATGCAGTCTCCATTAGTTGTGCTAATGGATCAATGGCCTGACCCATAATTGGTAAAGAAAGCATCAATAGCTCGCTTTTGACATCTGGAGAATATGTTTCACTGATAGAAATGTTATTAAACTCTAACCCAAAACAAACAAAAAACAATGCTTAACATAGGTAGCTTAGTTCTTGGATCAACTAAAAACTATGAGTAATAATAACAATTTCAGAGATTCGCTGAAATAGACAATTCCCGATAGCTATTGACGGTAATATTTCTCATATAAGCTTCATAATCAAAATTAAGTGAATAAAAAACAAAATTAACTTGCTTGCACTTATAAACCAAACCACATACGAAGGGAGGGACTAGAAGATGAAGGGATTGGGAGGCTTCCATCAAAAGTAGAAAAATTTATCTAAAGCTATCATGCTCAGTCACCAGCCACTCTACAAACTCATAATTTATTTTTTTCAAACGATAAGAGCATCAATCAAGAAAAAAAAAAGTTCACAACAATAAAAGCAGCATTTCAAGAAACTAAAGGAACAAAAATTTTAATATAACAAGGTAATGTAGGCTATAAGGTCTTACAGGTCACCACTCCCTACACCTATGAGAGCTTCCTCTTCCTCCAAAACCAACTTTCCTTCCACCTCAGAGGATCCCACACCCAAATCCGAACTCAATTGATTAGCCACCACCGGGAAACAGGGTCTTCTGCGGCGTGTCACTAGCAGTGTGCACAATGCTCTTCGTGTAGCATACAGATTGCATCCCCCCACAACATTGACATTGTTCAAATCCTTCCTACCACTTCTTGCTACAATATTACAATCTCCCCTTCTGTGCAATGAATTAAACAACCTAGACTTTTGAGTTATCGGGTTGCGGTCACTGGCTCGGGCGGTTAATCCGTTAGAAAGGGCGCCACTTCTGAACTGGGCGATTAATCCTCGATTAGATTAAGGAGATCACTCTACAGATTGAAACAATCCGGGCTGATGTGGTATAACCATCTAAGTGAATATTTGACAAGTCAGGGTTATGTGAACAATGAACTATGCCCATGCGTGTTCATTAAGAAGTCACATTCCAGATTTGCGATCGTTGCAGTTTATGTTGACGACATGAACCTCATCGGAACTCCTGCAGAGCTTGAGGAAATAGCCGCGCACTTGAAATCGAAATTTAAGATGAAAGATCTTGGGAAAACTCGATATTGCCTCGGCCTGGAGATCAAGCATTGTTTAAATGGAATCCTAGTACATCAATCGAATTACACCTAAAAGGTGCTACGACGTTTTAATGAGGATAAAGCGAAGCCTTCGAGTGCTTATATGGTCGTTCGGACTCTAGATGTTAAACGAGATCCCTTCCGTTCGAAGCGAGATGAGGAAGAGATTTTGGAGCATAAAGTTCCATACCTAAGTGCGATTGGTGATTTATTGTACTTGGCTCAATGCACTAGACCCGACATCTCCTTCGCTATTAATCTTTTGGCTAGATACAGCAACACCCCTACACACAGACATTGGAATGGTGTTAAAGACATTTTCTGCTACCTCAAGGGTACGATGGATTTGGGCTTGTTCTACACCCACAAATCCTTGAGAAAAGCTGCCACCCCCCTCGGTCCTCGGGTTGATTCACGCCTCACTGGTTACGCAGATGCTAGCTATATGTTTAACCTACATAGGGCACGTTCTCAAACGGGTTATGTCTTTACCGGTTAAAAAAAACCGCTATATCTTGGAGGTCTACCAAGCAAACGCTAGTTGCGACTTCTTTGAACCATGTTGAGATTATCGCCCTGCATGAAGCCTCGTGAGAGTGCTTTTGGTTGAGAGCAATAATGGAACATATTCGAAGCACTAGTTGTCTTTCTCCCATCGTTGACCTTCCTATGACGATCTTTGAAGACAATGCAGCATGTATCGAGCAGTTAAAGAATGGATGCATCAAGGGAGACAACACCAAGCACATTGCACCCGAAGTTCTTTTATTCTCACCAACAACAATAACATTAAAACATTGAAGTCAAGCAAATCCGTTCCCAAGACAACCTGGTCGATCTCTTCACGAAGTCATTGCCCAAGTCTACTTTTCAAAAGCTCGTCCAAGGAATCGGTAATGTAAATTATCTGGGTTGAATTGCTTGTACTTCTCTTATTTGGAAGTTATGTCTAACTCAGAGAAGTATCCTAAAGCATACTCACTTGATCTTAATGTACTCTTTTTCCTACAATTATGAGCATTTTTCCCACTGGGTTTTTGCTACCTAACGAGGTTTTGATGAGGCACCCATCCTGGGATGATCATACTCTGTTGAGTACACTATTTTCGTCCTGTTTGACGTTTGTTTTAGACATTATGCGTACTTCTAACTTTTCTCATTAGTCTATGGGTTTTCCCCATAACTTGGGTTTTACCATGGCGAGGTTTTGCGAGTTTTACTACCAATGCATACTTTCTTATATCTGAGACTCGCATTCACCCGTTGTGCCGACGACTTTATCAATCGTTCTACCTTATATGTTGAATATCTGATGCGACGTTTTGTTTGAGTATTTACACACTCAAGGGAGAGTGTTGCAATCCTATCGAATTAGGAATGCGATTGTGTAAATCCTAGTGTATTTAGGAGTACCTTGTTTTTTCCCAATAGTAATTTAATTCCTATTAGAGATGTAATCCTATTAGGGTAAGGATTCTACCTATCCTACTACTATAAATAAAGGCATAAGGGGGTGATACAACACACACCTCATAATTAAATCTCTCTTTTCTCTCTCTGTTGCCACCAGCCCCTCTCATTCTCTGTCCTTTATATAGTTGTTTAGGCCCAAAATATTGGTTTTGGCCAAGTTTAGAATTGTTCTCGACCCGGAAGTGTTGCTCAAGGGCCGGCCGTGTTCTATCAGGATGGGGTAGTTGAATCCTGATACAATAAGAAGTCTCGGCAGGATGAGGATGCTGAAACTTGGGAATGAATACGGCCTTATAAGGAGTTGAGTTCAAAGTCCTGATAGAAGTAGAACTGGCCGAGATAAGATTGGATCGGGGTGAGAAGTCCTAATCTGAGTATAGTTTTCATTCGATCAGAAGCATTTTTGCTACTATAAATAGAGGGAAAAGTGCATCGTTCAAGCCCCCTCCAATCCAACACACAAACTGCCCTGTGCAAACCCTCGCTTTACACAAAAAACCTCTCAACAACCTTGAGATTTTTATTTTCTTTTTTTGCCGACACATCTTCAGTTTAGATAAAGAGCACTGTGAAGGCAACATGTGATACCTTCAGTTTAGATAAACAACATTATCGCCGTAGAACCAGCCGACCGCGAAACATCTTTAGTTTGGATAAACAGCACCGTGTCGAGGCCGATTGGTTATCTATCCAAGTCTCAGTCGAGAAAGACTTTTGGGTCTTTATTGGCAGAGGTCATCTCATTAGCCTTTTCGGCGAGGTGAGGTGTTCCAGTTTATTAGGGCTCAGCACATTGAACGCCGAGTTGTTTTATGATTGGATACTTGTATGTAAGCTTCAGAGTTCGGCATTCTGACGGCCGAACCACATTTACCATTAAGACATATATCTGTTTTGAGTATTTGTGCCCCTATACTCTGGTGTTTATTCAGCATGCTTATACCCTTACAAATATAATCACTATGACCGAATTTGGCGCCGACAATTTGTGAACTTTGTAAAATTAGCAACCTTGTCTTCAGGCTCTAGAACCCAAAGGTCAAGAGTGTTCTTTCCTCGGCCGCGATCGTAAGATCAAGAAGTCAGCAACGCACCTAACGCAACATCAACATATTTTACTCAGCCTAGCTCGACCAACGAGTTGTCACGCCCCACATCAACCGAAGAACGTAGTTAGCTTATTAGTTACTCGGCCTGCGCGCCACATAGGCTTGGTAGTTTTTAGGGTCAATATTTTGGCATGCCTGGTAGGACCAAGTGTGTTAAAACTACAAAGTTCATGACCATCGAGACACGATCCGTTAAAAAAGAAAACAATGATGGGAAAGTCAACGATCGATATGCTAATTCAAAGTCCTGGACAAGAAGTGTCGCATATGCGAAATCCCCTCGTTGTTGCGACCCTTAAGGCTGTAAATGTGACACACCGAGAAAATGAGGTTTGTCTCGGTACCCAGCCCCGAAACATAGAAGTACCTAACCAAATCGTAAGAGTTTTCATTGAAGGAATAATTGAGGACTGGGACGAAGATAGTGGTGAAGGTTCTGACCCTCCAACTAGGTCGTTTCTTTGAAGACCACTTAACGAGCAATCTCGGTAGGTTAAACAGATAATTATCCAAAAGATGAACAGTTTGCTCAAGGTAATACGGAGTAATGGTGAGACATACACCTAATTGCTCGAATTATTAGTTAGCAGAGTCTTCGCAAGAGGACCTGCTGATCAGTCTCGACAATTTCCACTCAAAAGTAATCCATTACAGGTAGAAGTAGGATCTACTCAGCTCAAAACAATTGATTTGGAAAAAAAAAAAGATCAAGTAGTAGGTCAGATGGATCCGACCAAAGAGTAGAAGTAGCATCCGTCGATATGATCGTGGTCCAAAGGATGATCGATTCAGCCATGAAAAAGGGGTCAAAGTTCCCGAAATTCATCCATCCATATCCAGCTTATGTGGAAAAATTCAAATATCCTAAAGGCTTCAAGATCCCAGATTTCAGCCTTTTTGCTGGAGAATCGTCCTTGTCCTCGTTAGAACATGTGGCCCGGTTCACTGTGCAAAGCAGAAATGTCAATAGTGATTTCCATAAAAATGCGACTGTTTAACTTTTCGTTGATGGGCTCAGCATTCGCATGGTATATCAACCTCCCACTTAATTCCATCCAAAGTTGGGAGAAGTTGGTCGAGAAATTTCACAAACAACTTTATTGGTCCGGGATGGAAATGTCATTTTCTTCACTGGCTACGATGGCTCAAGCATTCGATGAGTCACCAATGGACTATCTTACAAAGTTTAAATCTGCCAGGAATTAGTGCCGAGTACATCTACCCGAAGTCGAATTTGTTAGGCTTGCTCTAAATGGGCTAG